TATTTGAGAGAAATAGGCCTTTTGTGTACATAGAAAAAGTCTTAGATCTTTGAGTTCAGCTCATGACAAATGGGGGCAAAAACAAAAGTGTTGCGTTTATAATTTTGTTCAGTGTAGCTCACTCAGATCCCAGTTAAAACCTATTTTTTCCTTCCCATAATCAAATATCCTTAATTCATCATGAGCAACTATTAGAACACTTATTAATCCTGCTGCTCTTTCAGAACAAATGGTTTTACAACAATAACACCAAGGGAGTTACATTTCATTAGTACTGTTGAGCAGTAATGGTTTGTTAAAATGTCCCCTGGAGGGAAACCGAGTATTTAAAAATACTTCAATAAACTGATTTCCCTTCCAGGCACTGAAAGGTCTGCCTTTTTTTTTTTTTTTTTAGAATTAGTTAATGGCTTAGTAACATTATCTGAGGTACAAGATCATTTAAACAGAGTGAGAAGATGGTCAGTGGATGGGAAGCTTCCAGAAAAAAAAAATATAGCTATTTTGTCAGCTCACAATGGATTTCAAAGAGCTTTCTAAAGCATTTCTGTTCCAGCATCCCTGTTAACTTGAGTCCCACACCTGCTGCTCCCACACAAGCGGTTTGATGTGAAGAACGGTGTGTAGGGTCCAAGATGCCATTGAAAGAGGCCAGTTTCTATAGCACCTAGAATTATGGTGGCTTTATCTCTCAGAAGGTCTGCTGAAGTCTCTTTTGGAAATGTGGACATGCTTTGCTGACAACCATTTTCTGATTATCCAAGAGGAGACACTCAGCAGCTTGATGGAGGATGGGTCAGAGCTGGGTGAGCTGTGCTAAGGGGTTGCTAGTACCCTCCAGAATCACCATGAGCTTAAAACTGATTCCAATTTGAAGGAAACCTTTGAAACCATGACAATTTACATTAGTGATTTTGAATGATGTTTTGCTAACCTCAAAGGCTTCATGGGCCTCAATCATAAACACGGTTCATTCACCTTGTGACCAAAGGCTCAAGAGACAACAGCATCCAAGGACAAGAGACACTGTCCAGTAAAGCGGCAAAGATGACTAGATGGAGACTCTCACCCTAAAGATGGGCATCCATTGCATCTCGTTGAGTGCAGGGTTGGAGCAGTGCAAGCTGGGATGCAGGGTAGATACTAATAAAGTTATTAACTTGCGGAACAGTGGCTGACATGTGGGCACCAAATGCTGTATTTTTCTCAGTATTTTCAAACCTCCACTTTCACTCAGCCTGATGCTCATGATAGGACACAACACCAAGCATACTGATGACCTTCTCGCCAGCCTCAAATGTTGCATAATGGACAAATCAATAATCCTTAGATGCGTTCTCATCAAAAACCACCAGGATGTCCCAGGAGACACTTAATACAGGCCCAAATACATACAGATTTACAGATGTTGCCAATTTCTCTTCTCCGAGAAGATGAATCCCAAGAACACCTCTAAAATTAGTGTCCAATGTATTCTCATCATTGGTGAGGTGTACAAAGTTAACCGTACCTCAGAGAGCAGTTGGTAACCTCGTCTCTGCACACCCGCACAGAAATGATGGGCCCAAACAAGAACAATGTCATACGCACCAGAATTTTAATCACATTTTGGTGAAGGTCACACATGAACAAAAAGCCTCATCTGGTCTTTTTGATGACTAAAATGATAATAATAAAACTATTCATAATTTTTGTTGTTTGTACTAACAGATTTGTCTCAAATATATATTTTTTACCCTTCACAACTGCTGTCTCAATTACAAATTTTCTCAGCTGAACAGTTATTTTTAGCTAAAATTATATTTGAAATCTGTAAATCTATAATTGAAATCAAGCTGAAATTAATTAAAATAAAAATTAAAAGCAAAATTAAACTTAAAAAAAAAACAAAAAAAAACAAAAATGAGAAATGTTGCCTTGGTAAATAACTGAAACAAGTTCAAGTCTAAGTACAAAAATTACTAAAACTGAAATAAATAAATTAAAGCTATACAGAAACATTAAAAACAAAAACGAATAAAAATGACAAAGGCACAGAACAAAATTACTCAATTTAAAATGTATGAAGCACTACTCTCACAGCAGTTACTTTTTCAAAGTAGCTTTCTGTTGGTCAGCATGGCACATTTGTGTGGCCAACTTGAACATGAGTAAAATCTGCGTAGGGAACCTTTTCGCCCTCAAGCAAAACTCCTGAATGGGTGGATTCCTATTGCAATGACTAATGATTGATTTGTCGAGCAACGGTTAATGTGACTGCACTTTTACTCAACACCACCATGTACAAAACAGAGAAAATCTGAAAACAAACCAGTGCCAGGGTTTTGTACACTTCCTGCTTACTTACCCCAGATGGGAAGATCATCTATGTACATTTGGTACCAGTAGTGGTTCTTGATTGCATAGACAAACGCATCTCTTTTAGGTTTGTCAAGTTCAATGTCACAGTAGGTTGTCTGCATCACCTCCTCTGTAAAAGACAAATCCACATTGCATTCTTACAATCACCACAAGAGCAATAATACTTACTAACCAACAAAAACGTGAATGAACTACGAATTTAATTTACATAGTATTACTGTTTAATTCTTGTGCCTTTGATAAGCTTAATTTGAATAGGTAAACACGTTAGGCATATTAGCATACAATCATACCTTTGAACTTGATGTCTAGACCGCTGAACTCCAATTCAACCCCCTGCAGCGCTTCTCCCAACGTCTCATGATAGTGACTAATAGTTTTCTTGGTGCCCACGCAGAACGGTAGGGAGAAGTACTTATAAGTCTCCTGTCGGTTGTGATAAGGGCCCACTGTATTCATCCATAGAACCACCTCCTCTTTATCTGTGTACTGCAGAAGAAAGAGAGCAGTCATCAGCTACCTGTTCCAAATATCAGCATCTACTTCTTTGTGATGTTAATTCAACTCCAGGATGTCACCATTTGAAAGACAACGTTTTAAAATAAACAGAAACTAGACTGCATTTTGTCCTTAAACAATTCTTCAAATAGAGCAAACTAATATAATCACTTCTGAATCCACAGACACACACACAGTCTGCTGTCCAGGGCCCAAGCACACCCATAAAAATTACATCTTTGATTCAAGATGAAGTCAGCTGGCAGAAAAGAGATTTTAGAATTAAGACAGACAAAATGTGATGCTGCCAAAACCTCAATCAAAATAAAATAACCAGAGACCAAGCTTGAAGGAAAAACTGCTTCAAAAAAGAAAACTGGTTCACTTGTTTAACATTACACTTCACTTAAGTTTTTAGTTAAAATCTGTGTGTCCTCCAAGTGGACAGGCAAGCAAATTTTATACAATGCTGTTTAAAAAAATAAAGATAACGGATAAATCTTAAGAGTTATAAATAACTGATTGTACTGCAATTCCTGCAATACACATACTACCAGACATTTCCAGTGGAGAAAACTCCATAAATAACATCAAACTTTCAAATACAAAAGATTTTTCAGTTATTTATACAAAAAAATACTGCACACAGTTTTGTCTAGTGACCAATATGATGAACTACATCAACAGCACAAAAACGTGTGCCTAAGATGTTCAACCAACTTGTGAATCATGTAAACTGCATTAAAGGGGTCATATGATGCGATTTCAAATTTTCCTTTCTCTTTGGAGTGTTACAAGCTCTTGGTGCAT